GTAGGTGCCCGCCAGGCCTGGGGCAGGGGTGGGTGCCTGGGGCGGGGAAGGCAGAGACCATCCTCTCCCCTTGCCCGGTGCAGGCAGGAGCTTAGCACAGCCTTTTCCCCTGGGATGAGGAGGGAACTGGGGGTCTGGGGAGCCCACCTGCCCCACACGCCTGTTGTGGCCAAATCCCAGCCCCACGTGTCTGCAGGATCCCGGCTGAGTCGTGCCCGGGGCAAGGAGACTGCTCTGCATTCAGCCTTGCTGCCAGCTCGTTTCCCCTGTGCCGTGAGCAGGGCAGGAGAGGTCCCCGGGCTGGCTGCAGTGGGGCAGGTCCATCTCTCACGGCCCCGTATGGGGATGCCGCTGTTATTCACCGAGCCCCTTGGCAGGGAAAGCCAAGGCAGCTATGCTTCTGGCACGGAGCACAGGCGCAGAGACCCCTTCCCATAGCCCTCCAACCCCCTGGTCCCTGCCGACTGACTGTCCCGGGGGGGCTCGCAGGGTCCCCCAAGCGGCACCAGTTCCAGAGGCAGCGGGCGGCGAGCGAGAGCATGGACCAGGAGGACCGGGACCCCCACCAGACCGACATCATCCAGTACATTGCCCGGACCGAAGACGTCACCTTCCGCCCCGTGGCCGGGCCCTTCCTGCCATCCCCGGCCAGCCCCCCACCCTCTCTCGGCAGGTATTTTTCAGTAGATAGAAGGGCTAGGGAGGCTGGCCGGGGCCTCAGCTCTGGCCCGGGAGCCTAGGGGCAAGCGTGTGCGAGCCAGGCAGGGGCATTTCCCAGGCTCTCCCCCGGGAAAGCAGGGGGCTGAGCCCTGGAGCCCCCAGCCCTGCTCCCCCTGGATGGGGTCCCTGCCCCTCTTCATGCCAGGGGCTGCCTGGCTGGGGGAAGCTGCCCGTGCCCTGATGCAGGAGGTGCCAGCAGCAGGGTCCCGGCTCTGTAGGGCTCAGGACCCTCCAGCAAGGGCGGCAGGGCTGGGAGGAAAGGTGGAGGGACTGAGATGAGGGGAGATGGAGACAGGATGGAAGTGAGTGGAGGGGATCATTGATTTGCAAAGCTCTGCAGTGGCTTGAAAGTGTCCCTGCCCAGTCCCAGCCTGCCCTGCGTACTGCACCTGGGTAGGCTGGGCTGGGCCAGGCCGGGTTGAGCTGAGCCGGCAGCCCCGGACCAGGCGCTGCGCTGTAATGCCCGCGGGTTGTGCCCCCAGGCTAGAGCCGGCCGAGGCAGGTGGGGGGGCTGCCGCGGAGGCGCCCGGCGCGGAGCAGCAGAGCATCTACCACGACATCTGGAGCTTGCGGGCGTCCCTGGAGCTGCATGCCTCGTCTGAGCAAAGCAACGACCGGGACTCGGTGCGCAGCGACGGGGGCGACAGCGTGTCCTTGGCGGGCGGTGCCCCCGGCTTCTCCTCCTCCCTGGACGAGGCTGAAGGCCCCGAGGAGCGGCCGTGGGGCCGACCCAAGCAGGACAGCACCGAGTCGGAGCCGGGCACGCGCAAGCTGCTGCAGATGGACAGTGGCTATGCCTCCATCGAGGCGCCCAGCCGGGCAGGCGAGGACGGGCAGCCCCAGGACCAGACCGCCTCGGAGAAGCGCATCTGCTTCACCAGCGCCGGGCGCAAGGGCACCATCTTCGAGAGCTTCGAGGGGCGTGAGCCTGAGGAGGAGGAGGAAGAGGAGGAAGAGGAGGTGGCAGCGGGGGGCGAGGCGGCGGTCCCGCCGCGCAGCCCCCTCGCCTGGGCTCCCTACGGGCAGATGTTCGCCAGCCGGGAGGCGCCGCCCCGGCGGGACTACAGCATCGACGAGAAGACGGACGCGCTGTTCAACGCCTTCGTGCGCCATGACCCGCAGTTCGACGACTCCCCGCTCCGCGCCCGGCACCGGCCCCGTGCCCACCTGCGCAAGCAGTGGCAGCGCGCCAAGCAGTACAGCGACCCTGGCCTGCGCTACGCGCCCGCCCTGGAGCGCCACCGCACGCCGCTGCGCCGCGGGGACAGCGTCAACTACCCGCTGGACAGCCGCTACCACAGCACCCTGCCCCGCATCGTCAGTGCCGGCGATGAGGAGGTCGGCGAGGGCGCTGAGGCTGCTGGGGATGGGCCGGAGGCCGAGGCCGAGGCCGAGGCTAAGATCCAGGTGATCGAGGAGGAGCCGGCCGATGCGGCCGCTGAGCCCCGGCCCAGCCCGGAGCCCCTCGGGGAGCACTGCCCGGGCTCCGGCAAGTGCCTGGGCCTGGGGTCCCAGGTCCTGGGGGCTGAGCTGATGGACAAGATCGCGGGCGGCCTCGAGGACCGGCTGTATGGGCACTTGAAAAAACCGAGAGAGAGCGTGGAGTGCGCCGTGGCCGTGGCGTCCCCCGACCGCAGCCCCGTCTAGGCCGGGGGGGAGAGCACCGGGTTCACCCCGACTCGCTGCATCAGGGTTCAGGGCTTCGACCCCTCCCGCTGCTGGCACTGCCGCCAGGCCTGCTGGGTCCCGCGCCCCGGGGCGCGAGGGGAGCCCTCAACGGCCTCTCCCCTGGGAAGGGGCTGGGAGGGTGGGGGCGAGCCCGGCTGGAGGCACCAGGGCGGGGCCCTGCTGCACGGACCCCCGTCCATCATCAAGGGCTTGGAGGGGCCGGGTCGGTCGGGACGTCCAGCCTTCCACGCGGCGGGGCACGGCCCCTGGGCCCAGCAGCTGGAGGGGGGTGGCGGAGGCGAGGAGCAGGCACCTGCCTGTGCAGGCCTCTCTCGCACGGCGGGAGGTCGGTTTGACGGGACAGTTTTCCTGGTCCGCACCCCCAGCGGAGGCCTGACTCTTACCTCATGACGTAGAGCTGTGTAGCAGATGCGAGACCCCCGCACCGTGCCCTCCTCTCTCTCTCTCGGATTTTTTACAAGCAATAACGCGTCTCTGCCTCTGCCCGGAAACATCCTGGCAAAGAAGGGGCCGGGACTGGGGTGCACGGCGCTGCGGGGAGGCGCAGGGCGGTTGCAGGGGGTTGCTGTCCTCCAGGGCCCGGGTCCGGAGCTAGCAGGGGCTCCTGCCACGCGCCAGCTCTCCTGCTGCAGCCTCGAAGCCCTGGCTGGGATCCTGGGATCTGAACTGGAAGGGGGGTCCCCAGGGCGGGGGGAGCTGGACCCAGCAGGGATGCCCATAGTGTGTGCAGGGGGGGACACAGATTGGGTTTTCAGGCAGCGACTGGGGGTGGTAGGACACAGACCCCCCCCCCACCCCGGACAGCACCTGCCCGGTCCCTGCCATGGGGCTTGGCTCCCTGGGGGCGAGCCGGCGCTGCACCCCCCAGCCCGGGGAACAGGGAAGGCGGAAAGGACTTAAGCAACTGCTGCTAGGGAACAGTGTAATGCTCCAGGTGCCAAATCAGGGGTGGGGGGGACGGAGAGGACGCCCCAGGAGATGGGCTGGGACCCCGAACCCGTCCCGAGAACCCACCCCTTCCCAAAGAGGGAGGCTACTCGCTCCTGACCCCCCCAAGCCAAGCTGCTCCCCTCTTTCCCCGCGGCTACAGGCCCCGGGGGAAGGAGGGCAGGTTGGCCTTGGCGAGGCTCCACCACGGGCTGGGGGGGAATGAAGGGGGTGGGCAGGGGCAGCCGCCAGGTCCTTGCAACTGGCCAGCGGCCCGTGCCCCACGTGCTGGTCTTTGTTAAGTTATTATTTATTGATTTTTATAGTGGT